AGCATCTCTGGGAAAAACTACTGCCGCTCCTTTTGATGACCGAGAGAAGATCTATCTTCTTGCTGTTGGCTATTACAGAAGCGGAGACTACTCAAAGAGCAGACAGCTCGTGGACCGCTGTATCGAGGTTTCATCCACTCGCCTACTCGTTTCTTTATAAACTCCGCCATCCGCTATATTATCACTCTTTGATGGATGGTTTGGTTTCATAGATGCAAGCTGATTGGAGACAAGCTTTGGCCCTGAAGAAGACCATCGAAGACAAAATCAAAAAGGGTAAGTAAGCTATGCGTCAAATAGAAACACCAAACTGAAACACATGAAATGAAAGTTGTACAAAATCCTAATTGAGCCACCAGAGTTGTTACTAAATAGTATTTCTTTCCATATCGCAGATGGTGTTATTGGGATAGGCATCACTGCTTCAGCTGTGGGAGCCGTAGGTCTGATAGCCGGTGGTATTGTAGCGGCGCTGGCTCGCAAGAAGTGACCACGAACGATCCTGACTTGTTCTTCCTTGTGCATACAATAGCAAGATTGCGTTTCTAAGTTTCTTCCTCTTTTGACAAAACTGCTTTTCCTTCTTCCTGCTTGACATTGATAATTTTGCGGATTTACTTGAATGGGGGATTATCTTTATACACTTTTGCTCAGAAACATAATGCCTCTTCTCTTAAGTTGTTAACCACAAGACTACGTCGTGTTGCTATACACTGAAACGATTCGTTATGTCCTTTGTCAAATGTTTCTTCATTCACGTCGCGATTTTCTGATTCTGAAAAAGGAAACCCTAAATTCCCGCGTCTTCTTGCTCGATTCGTCTGCCTCTTGAATCTTGATCCTTGCGGCTATTCGGGAAAACACCCCCCCCCCCCAAATCCTTCGTTCTGATTGCGTGAGAGAACGGTACGAATTGAAATTGGAATTGGGTTTTATCTTTGTATAGAGAGATTACATGTTGGATCTTAGTTTCTAAGCGCTTTGCTTGTGGACAATGTTACTCTCTTGACTTCTTTGGTTGCTGTTAATACTGGACTGTGATGGACACGATTGTTATTTGGTTGAGTATGTAAACTGTTCACTCTGAACTCTGTTTTCTTCACGTTGGTTCTAATGATTAGCTCTTCCCAGTAGCAGTGGATTGTAATTGTCTTGTGGTTAGGGAATAATGAATAGTGCTCTGCTTCAGTGGGATCTTATTTGTAGTTGCAATAGATTCTCAAGTAGTGTTTTACCATTTTGCTGGATCTTGTATTGTATTAAATGATTCCAACTGGATTTGTATTTTGAGTGCTTTAACCAAAAACTTACTCTGAAGTTCATCGAAATCAAAACCAAATTCTAGAAAAATTCATCATTTTTGCTGAACTCGTTTACCTGTTTGTGTGGTATGTTTCACGAATGTCTTGTTTCGTTCTGACTTTTAGACACAGGTAAAAGACATGCCGAAAGAAGGGTGTTCGAAAGTCTGTCGTAGAAACACGAGGTCTTCATCTTCTGTGACTGCTGAGAACAACGTTTGATGATCTCACATTTGGGGAAGAATCAATCACTTTGGATGCTCTACTCTCTAATTTTCCGGGCAGACGCTCTCAGATTCTTATAGGCCCCGTTGGATTGCCCTACACTTCCAGTTATGGTCTATGGAGACCATTCTACTGGAAAAACCAGTGTTGTTCTTCAGGTCTTCAGGCATCTCAATCGCCCCTTTGTTTATTCAAGCTGTCGTACATGTGACAATCCCCGTACCTTGTTTGAATCGATTCTGAACCAGTTGTTGCTGCATAGGAAGTGTTCTTCTAATGGATATTCTAGCGCAAAACGATGTGACAAGCCATCTGATTTTGTCAACTTACTTCGACAAGCTCTTAGTAATGCGATAGAGCTTCTCGACTCTACTTCCGGAAGCTCAATGCCAGATGGAAAACCCGTGGGGAAGATGGTATACCTGATACTTGATCATGTCAATCTTATCAAAGAGTGGGATAAAGGCACTATGATTCTGCAGTTTCTTTTCAATTTGTACTCTGTTTTGAAGATGCCTCAACTTGGTATAATACTTATCAGCGGATCGCCACCAGATGTGTATTACTCAAACATGGGATACACAGACCCTATACCTCTTTTTTTTCCCCGAGTATTCCGAAGATGATCTTCGTCAGATTTTCTTGAGAAATCAAACTATACTCCGCATTCCTCGAGTAAGCCTATAGTATAACCTTGCCTTCCTTACTTGCTTTCTCTATCCTTTACTATAGTTGTGTACTAATGTGGTTTTTTTTAATATGTTAAGCAGTGTTGTATTGAGACCTTTCTATAGGGTCACCAGAAGAGTTGAAGAACTTTCCACTACCTTCTCATCATTGTTCAGAAAGTATTGTGAGCCACTTGATGATTTAGGGATTTCACCAAATGAAGATCTGAAGAGAAGGCTGTATAGCCATCTTAAACCGCATATTGCTCCCTGTTTAAATGAGATATTCAGGCTCTCAAGTCACCCTCATGTTGGCGACACCAGAGGCGAGAAAAGGCAGAAAGCTAGCTACAGTTCTGAAAACCGTGAAGAACTTGAAATATTGGACTTCCATATGTCTACTTCAACAAAGTATCTTCTTATTGCAGCGTTTCTCGCTTCTAGAAACCCAGCAACGCTAGACGCGTCTATGTTTGACTCCACAGGGGGCATGGATAATCGTAAAAGAAAGCGGAAGTAAGTTATCATTGTTTCTCTTTTTGCATATTGCTTAACAGAAAATGGTAATGGTAATGGACCTAATGATGGTGTGGTCTCATGATACATTTGAATAAAATATTTTGGTGTTTCTTGATGTTGATTCCGAGCAGGAAGCAGTCATGAAAGGGCCTGGAAGCTTTCCACTGGAGAGACTATTGGCGATTTTCCAATGTATTGCCTCTGTAGGAGATTCTTCATTAGGT